TTTCAGCTCAAGGTGAGTGCTTTACCATTTGAGCTACTGTGCCACTTCTGGTTTTCTGGTGGTTTATTGGAGATAAGAGTTTCATGGACTTTCCTGCCCGGGCTGGATTTGAACTGTGATCCTCAGATTTCAGCCTCCTGAGTGGCTAGGATTACAGCCATGAGCCACCTGTACCCAGCACAGCTACTTTTTTTTTTAATGCTATATTGTCTTTGATTCTAAAGTATGTAATATCTAGGTCTAGTGAGGGTTGTAAATATAGTCAAGTATGGAGCTTTACTTCTAAGATCTGGCTTTTAGTTTCCTATTAAAATCCTCACTCTAGATTTGATACAAGGGTTTCTTAAACATAAATGTGAAATCATTAAAGAGAGAGCAACAATAAAATCAATCTTAATTTATGTGACAAACGCATTCATCAATCCAAGCTCAAGGAAGTGACTCTGAAGCACAAAATACAGTGAAAGCAAGATCAAGTGTTTGTTGGGCAGATACCCCAAACAGGTACAACAAGTATTTTATCTTCTTACTGTATGGGCCCCTCATTCAATTAGTTGTTAGTTGAGTACTATAACAGTAAACAGGATATTATCTAAGTTTAATTATTGGGAAATTTTAATAAATGGACCTATTAGGATTACTTTGATTTTAGAAAAGAGCCTTGCTCATCCCCACCTGCAGTGTACTATTGTGGTAGGAAGGATTCTCTAGTTATGTGCTTTCTGGCACACAGTTGGTTTTTTTTTTTTTTTTTGCTTATTTAAGTTAATCCATCATTTCATTGTGGTCCTCCATTCTCCCTACTAGTTGAATTCCTTCTAATGTCCTGTTTGCCTTTCCTATTTGTCTAAGGACTTAGACTTTGTCATAAGCCTTTAATTCATTGTGTAAGCAAGCTCCTTAAGAACATGGATTCTGGGTCAGATGCCTTGTCTTGAAAATATCTACTACTGCCTTTATTTCCAACAATCATGAAAAACATTATTAGAAAAACAGAGCAAACCTAATTATTTTCATGAATATATTAAAGTTCTAATTGGAACTTTAAGAAGTTATATTGCGAGATTTGGTATACTATATTTTAATTATAAGTGTAATTAACTTATGTAACAAGGTTAAATTAAAGAAGGGGTTACTCTTATAAAGTGAGACAGTAGACATTAAATATTTTCTGAATACAATATCATGTATTTTTATGTAGGATAAACTGTTTTAAAAAGTGGGAGGCAGATTAGAATATAGGATTTGTGAATCTAGGACCCCATGTCAATAAGGAGGGAAAAACATATTGTCTTTGTTCTATGTGAAAGCTGTCCATCTGTCAAGAGACAGAAGAATGAATCCCAAGATTCAGAAGTGAAGTTCACATAAGGAATGATTGACATATTTAATAGTTAAGACATCTCCCATCACCCACCTACATATTCATCGTTGGTGGAACTAATTATGTCTAAGAAATTAAAAATAGAACCAATGTTAACTGCCACCAAAGTTAACAACAGTCCGGGTGTGGATCTGACTAATGGAAGACTTATCTGAGATTCTATGTAAATATAGGACATTTAAAAATGAAATAGGTCTTCCTATACACATGAAAGACATTTTGTCACAAAGTTGTCTTCATGGCATAAAGTATGTATCTTAGTTGTGGCAGCTGGCTGTCAGAGCTCCACGTTGAAAACTTAATTTACAAATTCTCTTGCAGTGGGATATAGGAGGAGAATTGTTATAGACATTTAGCTATTAAACTTCTTAGGCTTCATTTTAGGTTAATTAATCCCAGATATATCTTCTATCATCCCTCATCTACTTTCTATTGATTTGAGGATTGAAGTAATTCTAAAGTTTTGATGGGTTTGGACAATAAAAAGTATCTAAAGGCATTACTTTCTGCTCCTTTTTTCCTCCCCATGGAGTTGTAATCTTAGAGGATAGGGGCTTATTTGCCATTAATGACTTATGTAGTATTTACTTTTTTTAATTCACTTCTGACAGTTTGAAAATCATGAGTTTTCACTTTTTTTTTTTTTTTTTTTTTTGGTCAGTCGTGGGGCTTGAACTCTGGGCTTGGGCACTGTTCCTCAGCTCTTCAGCTCAAGGCGAGCGCTCTACCACTTGAGCCACAGCACCACTTCCAGTTTTCTAGTGGTTTATGGGAGATAAGAGTCTCCTGGACTTTCCTTCCCTAGCTGGCTTTGAACCCTGATTCTCAACTCTCAGCTTCCTGAGTAGCTAGGATTATAGGCATGAGCCACTGGAGTCCAGCATGAGTCTTCACTTTTAAGAAAAAACACTTCCTTAAATCCACAAAGAATTTTTTTTTAAATGTTGACTTCTTAGCCTCCTTCAGTCTAAGGATGAGAGACGTTTTCAAAATTCCTGTCCTGGATATCTGAAACTTAAATTTCTTGGAAGAAAAATGCTAATGAGTTAAATGACATAGTAAAAACATGTTCTTCACATGAATTTATTTTAAGAATATGGCAGAACATTTAGAGTTGTTCATGCTCACTGTAACCTTATTTGAAAGATTAACCCAATCTTGCCATATTATTCTGCCATTCGTAACCTTCTCAGTCAACATAATGGGAAAATGTCTTGCTCTGTTCTTTTTGTTTAACCTGGTATATGATTTTAGTTTGTAATTTTATTTCTATTGACTATACTCGGTATCTCTTTGTCTTTAAATGGCTACCTTAGAATAAAAAGTGTCACAAAATGCCCATTCTAATTATTATTATTATTATTTTCTTTTTTTTTTTGTTGGTCATGGGGCTTGAACTCGGGCTTGAGTGCTATCCCTCAGCTCTTCAGATCAAGGCGAGCCTTCTACCCCTTGAGCCACAGCCCCACTTATGGTTTTCGGCTGGTTTATTGAAGATAAGAGTCTCACAGACTTTCCTGCCTGGGCTGGCTTTGAACTGTGATCCTCAGATCTCAGCCCCTGAGTAACTAGGATTATAGGCATGAGCCACCGGAGCCCAGCTTTCTAATTATTGTTTACTTAAGTAGTTAAGTAAAAAACAAACAAACAAATGAACAAAAAATCTGCATATCATTTATATGAAGAAGTAATTTGTTATTATCACAGTTTAAGACAATCCTAAGGTTGTTCTTTACTGCTCTTTTTACTGCTCAACTGTATGGTACTGAAACTGAATGTTTAGATTTCAGTCACAAACTCCAAGAGATTCACATATCTAGTCCTGACCACTCACCCTTACCTGCTAAATACAGAGATATGGGGAAAGGCAAAAAAGGAAGAGAACACTTTTTCTTGTCCGTCATGGAGCTTGAACCCTGAGCCTGAAGGCTGTCCCTCACCTCTACCACTTGAGCCACAGCGCCACTTCCGGTTTTCTAGTGGTTTATTGGAGATAAGAGTCTCAGGGACTTTCTTGCCTGGGCCGGCTTTAAACCCGGATCCTCAGACCTCAGCCTCCTGAGTAGCTAGGATTACTGGCATGAACCACCGGCACACGGCTTAGGAAGTGAACACTTCAGTACATTTTCAGCCATTTTCACATATACAGTCCTTGGCCTTAGAGTAGAATTAGACACGAGAGATGAAAAACTATTAATAACTAAAACAGCCCCAAATCACAAGTGTTCCCTAATTGACCAGTTTTTGTCTTGGGGAAAGGGGAGGAGGTGTTCTTGAGAAGTTGATCTCATCATATCATTTGAGGGGAGCAGGAACAGTCAGTGACTTATTCCTTAACCCTTATGGCTTGTTGTCTGCAGCTTTTGTCTATTTTCATCATTTGGAGACCTTTTACCTTTTATCACAAGATGATAAAAAGATGGCACTCCCTGTCAAAAGGAAGGTTGCCTTTTTTCCTAAAATGTTTATCAGTTGTAAACCTAGTTCATTCTAGAAGTGATTGTAAAGTAACAGCAGGAGAGAATGGCTCAGACCAAAGGGCACAGATGCACAATTTGGTTGAGTGCCTAGTTTCAGTTAATTCATGGTCCTAACAAATGTAGCTTTTATATTATTTTTACATTATGAACTTTAATGTATTTGTTTTAGGCAAATTCTCTGCTGAAGTTCTGACAATCCACTGTAAAAAATATCTAATATTTTAATTTAAAACTCTCCTGATTTTTATAAGATATAGAAAGACTCCCAGAGCTGATAATCTTCCATGTCTCCTTCATCTGAAGTGATTCTTGTCCACTTATATGAGTCTTTAGTTAGACTAGATTACATAGGTGACATGGACTGAAATATGGCCAGGGTAACAGGAACAAAGTCCAGTTGTTTCTAAGCTAACATAATCCCCTACAACACTGTCTTAGGGTAGTTTTTTTCTCATGTGGAGCCATTTCCTCCGTGCACATAGAAAGCTTCTTGCCCTCAACATGCACTTGTTTAGAAATAACACAAATACCGTTTTTGATTCCACTCATTTGCTTTCTAAAAGCTTTTACACACCTTCTGAGGTGTTTAAAAGACACTAAGGAGGGAGCACTCTGGACATAATCTTGCATCTCTCTGTATTTAGCTTTCCAGACACAGTTTACAAACCTAATGGTAGTTTATATTCTGTCATAGTTGTCAATACTTTTGCAAGTTATATATAAACATTTCCAAACCACAAGGGTAATATCAAGTAAGTGATTGTTTCACTTATAAGATGATCCTCAATTAGCCTGAAAACTTTCATAATCTCTGCCAGAGACTAGGTTATACACTACAAGAATCTGTTCCAACAGAGGAAAGAATGCCTTTGTACATACAAGTACTTTAAAATTATTGCTACATATTTCCCCTTATGTGGAATTCTATCAAAACAAGAAGTAAACATGAGTCAGTAGCTGTGTTTCAAAGCTGTGTGGATGGCTTTCCTGTATTACTCAAGAGTGTGACCAGGCCATCAAAGGTGAATGATGTAAATCTCTTTTTCACAGAGCTTGGAATAAAACAATGTTATGCTTGAAATATCAACTATGAGGATGAGAAGATTTATTTGGTATAGTCTCTTTTTCTTTTTGTTTTTAATATGCAGCACTTCACAAATTTGCATGTCATCCTTGCACAGGGGCCATGCTAATCTTCTGTATAGTTCCAATTTTGACATATGTCCTGCCGAAGTGAGCACAGGTATAGTTTTTTTAAAAAAATATTGAATTATTTAAAATTTCCAAGGTAAATAATGAATCAGGCATATGATAATATTTCCAAAGACTGAGAGAATCTTGGTTTATAAGCACCATAGGGAAAAGACAAAATTTGAAGGAAATAAAACAAGTACTTGATACCATTCTGACCACATATTATCATACTTTAATATGAAAGCTCAATTTGGGATTTTACCATGGGTTAGTTAGTCATAGTCAATCAAAAATATTCTAAAATAAACAAAAGGAAATGAAAGCAACATTTTACATTTATGCTGTTATATTTTATTCTACTTGACTGTTGATACTTGCAGGACACTGAACCAAAATTGATATTTTGCCTTGAGCCAGACTCAATAGTTGGGCTAGGAAGAAATTAGCCTGATTTTGAAGTCAAGGTAGAAAATTTTCAATGTAAATTTTACTCTTTAAATTTTTTTTCTTTTAGTTAAACCTCCAAAAAAACACATATTGATTTTACTGAAATAATTGTGAGAAAAGAATTTGCGCTAAGGAAAACTATTAACTATGATTAAATTATGTCTTAATAGCATCTTAACAATTCTTTGTTTTTTTTTTTTTTTGTAAAAAAAACCTAATGATTTGTCATTGATTTTTTTCCATTATAAAAAATATGGTCCTGCTAACACCATCAACAACCAGATTATTTAATAAATCCTTGGATTTGGGTTAGTACAACATAAAATGGGATTAAATAAAGTCAACATAAAAGGGAAGTATTCTTGCTTGTGAAAGCCTGCTGTCTATATCTTAAAATGAGCGGTAGAACTGGCCATGTAATTAAATTTATTCCATTCTTAAGAAGTTAACTTATCTCATAAGTTTACCTCATATCTTTACTGTTGAAGCTATCTCAAGTATTTGAAATTCTACAGTGATCAAAAAGTCTCAATATTAGTATGATCTACTTATGAAATTAAAATTTCTCATTTATGAAGTAAAATTTTCAAAATTATTCGTTCTTATTACTAGGGACATGGCTCAAATGGTAGAACACCAACCACCAGCATAGATTAGACAACTGTGCAAGTAACATACACATTGCACACACAGAAACATACATGCACACACATAACTTTTAGTATTAATTTAAATGGTTAATACTTCAACTGTGCATACACAAATTTCACTTATTCATTAAATAAATGGATCATATAAATTATATGTAATTTGACTGTGCCATCAAAACTTATTAAATATCAATTCAATAATCACTTTATATGACAGCACTTATTTATTTAGAATTTGAACTTGGTCTTGCACTGTTTTTTGGTGTTTTTTTTTTTAATTAACTCAAGGCTGGCAGTCTACCATGTGATTCACACTTCTAACATGTGCTTGTCAATTATAGAAAAGATTTTGAGTTTTTCTCATGGATTTGTGTGCCTAAGCAGGCTTGGAATTTTGAACCTTTTATCTCAGTTTCCTGAGGAGCTAAAGCCATGAGCCTTGGGTGCCTGGCTTTATCACAACATTTTTAAAAGGTTAAAGTTAGTTGTTTTTATATACTTAATAATAATGACATTACACAATAAAGTATATTTATTATTAAAGCATAAATCAAACAGATTAATAAGATACTTTCTTCTTTGTGATTATTTAAGGATCATAGTTACTTACATTTTGCAGTGCTAAAATTATTCTAGATCCTCGATTCTCAATTTGGATCCTAGATCCTCAATTATTCTATTCCAAGTAGTAGGAGAAGGAAACCATTGAAAACAGATATAGGTATATGAAAGGATATCAGCAAATATAGCACTTGGCTAAGCAGTGCTTGCTTGTGACAACAACATGACATGAATATAGGAGCATGTCTTCCCAAAGAACAATTGCCATTTGTGCCTGAATCTTCTTTTCTGGTTTTCCATATCCAATATCCAAATATATTTTCTTTTACTTATGTAAAATACATTATATGAAGGTCCAAGTATGAGATATCCAGGGGGCTGGGGAGGTGGCTCAGTGGTAGAGTGCTTGCCTATCATGCATGAGGCCCTGAGTTTGATTCCTCAGTACCACATAAACAAAAATAAGAAGAAGAGATATCCAGGTGATATGGGTTCTTTCCATCATGTACTTAAGTAATAACCTGCACTTACTGTAATTTTATACTCTATATAAGATGATGGGTAAAACAAAAAGTTCTCAAGGGAGAATGCTGGCTTAGCTAGAGAAAGATTCTGAGGTCAAAACTCGTATTGCAAAACAGAAGAATAAGATGAAGAAAAAGACGAAAGAAAAGAAGCAATAGGAGAAAGTGGAAGAGAAGGGAAGAAGAGAAGAAAGGCAAAAGGCTGGGAGGAGAGGAAGTATACAGTGATTACTGGTCCAGATCAAAGCCCAGAAGCAATTTAATAGTCTAGTGATAGAGAAGTAAAGTGAATGACTTCTAATGTTGTGGTTGAGAAGTTTCGTGAGAATCTTTTTTTTCTCCAAAATGTTCCTTTCCATTTTTCTACTTTATGTTTTCAGCAGGAGATTTGTTATATTATTCTATATACTAAGGTTTTGTTCACTCAAATTGCATGAAACAATGGAGTGGAAGAATACTTTCCCTGGTCAACGTTATTTACCACAGATTATTTCTTATCCTTTTAAATTGTGATGTTTAAAGTGACAAAAGCTTTTTTTAAAATACAGCTTTTATTGCAAAGATACTGTACAGAGGGGTTACAGTTACATGAGTAAGGTAGTGAGTGCATTTCCTATTGAGCAGTTAATCCCTCCTTTGTTTATCCTCTTCCATCCTTTCCTCCTCCCACCACAACTCCTCCCTTCCCCTCCCCTAAAAGTTTTAAAGTTAGTTTTCAACATAGTGTCTTGTACATCTCATTGTTACAATGGGTCAGCCTGTATCCTTGTTTTAGCATTTTGTTATTACCCTCCTCACCAAATTAGAAAAATGTATATACAAGATGCAGGGCACCAGATTCAAATACAGTAACAACAGGGGCTAAACCATGGGGGAAGAACAAAAAAATCACATACTGTAATATAAGTACATTAAAAACAACAGCAACAAAAATAAAATCTCTTGTGTCCCTATCTTGGGGTTCATTTTGCTTAGCACCATCTTATATGATCATATGTACAAGGCTTTTGACCTTTTCTACTTGTCTGGTAAGATTATGCTAGACGTATACTAGTTATTGCAAATAAGGAAAGCGTGGGACCTATGTTTCTTTGAGCCTGGCTTACTTCACTTAATATAATTTTTTCCAAGTCTTTCCATTTCCTAACAAATGTGGTGATGTTATTCTTTCTGATAGAGCCATAGAATTCCATTGTGTGTGTGTGTGTATGTGTGTATATATATATATATATATATATATATATAGATGCCCCTCAGTTGATGAATGGATCAAGAATATATATATATATATTCTTGATCCATTCATCAACTGAGGGGCATCTGGGTTGGTTCCATATCTTAGCTATGGCAAATAATGCTGTGATAAACATAGTTTTTCTGGTAGCCTTAGTATTGCCTTGTTTGTGAGCATTTGTGTAAAAGCCCCAAACTGGGATTGCTGGGTCATAGGCGAGCTCTATGTGTAGTCTGACAAAGGCTTTTTATAAACTATGCTCAGTTTTTGTGCTGCTAATATTTGGATGAATCAGAATGCACACCTATATCCAAGGTGGGTTTAATTTTTCCTGAGTCATTCAGGCTTTGGTTGTATTAAGGATTAGACATGAATAGATAACTGCATATGAAGTTTCTGCTAGAAAAAGATACTAGGAAAAGTAAGTTAAGATAGTTTCAGTGAAAACACGAGACATGTGAGATGAATGTCACGGGAATATTTCTGTGTAATATGAAGTATTTGAGAATAAAATTACATTTTTCTGATGGATATTTTGGGGATTCTTATCAAAGTCCTGCAAATACTAGATAAGTATGGTAATAGCAATGATGAGGATGATGGAAAAATGGCAGTGACAATGCCATCAATAACAGTGAAGGGAATATTCACCCAATGATGCAATTACTGACACTCCATGGACATCAGAGGCTTTCTGTTGTGAATCATGCTAAATTTTAAGACAAATCCTGGTTTATCCCATAGGGAAATAATATTTTAGAGATCATAAGTCACTTCTCAATCTTCAACCTACAGGCTTAGATGATGAAAGAAAAGGGTAATTGCAGTTGCAATTTTAGGATACACTGATGAAACTCTGCCTTCTGTAAGCTTTCATCTCAAGACCTGCATATGTCCCTATAACTCAAAGGTAACTAGCATGTCAGTAGGAGAAGCAGACTGGTAGTGCACAAATCCAAGGCTGCCTACTAGAAAAAAGTGTTAAGTTACACCTTAAAATGTGAAATCTTTCTATGACTTGCTTTTTTATATAATTTAAATCTATTCTATAGTTGTTAGAGGGTCAGCTTTCATTTATTACCTGATTTAGTATTGCATAATTTAGAGATCTGCCTTAAATTTAATTCAATAAAATTAACTGTGGTAAAATGAACAACAGTGGATAAGAATAGCTTGTAAAAACTTGTTTTTTAACCTAAAGGAGGATATGCATGTATTTTACTTTATAATATATCTGAGCTGTGGAATTTTCTAGGAGGTAGTCTTATTGAAGAGTTGAATTGAGAAGGATATCACTTTGTCTATTGGTTAAAAAGTGTTGCTAGATTTATATTATATGAGTATGTGCAACATTGCAATGCAGGGACAACAGGTGCAATCAGCCCTACCTGTTCCCTGAATAAGCTCACAATGATTTTTTTTCACTTGGAGTTTCCCAGTAACTCTCTATGCTGTATTAACTAGATCATCCACTATGGAGATGTTTCACTGAGTAGCTTCTTATGTATAATCACAACTACACCAGAATGTATTGTCTCTTATCATTATTTACAAAGGCATTATATTGTTTGAGTCATTCATATGGAGAAGAAGGTCAATGAAACTAGTTTTGTAAGATTTTTCAGAGCAAA